TTCTAAAATATCAATAACTTTTTTTGAAAATCTTTTAGCTCTTCTTGAAGTATCAAAAGAACCTGTGTTAATACACGGTATTAACACAGAATTTATTTCAATAGTAATATTATTAACAATAGTATCTTTTGCCTCTTCAATCTTAGATATAAGTACATTTCGTTTTTCTATTGAAAATTTCGGAATAAAGTATGAATCCTTATATAAAAGGTTTGTTTCTAATTCATCTACTTTCTTAGCAATATTTAAAATGCTATTATGATATACTTTTTTAAGTTCGCATATTTTTTCTAATCTTTTCTCTGATGGAAAGTTCATTAAAGGGTTTCAAACGTTCAAATTTAAAAAGTCAAAAAACAAATGCTCATTTGAATAAAAATTAATATTTACAGTGTGTTTTTGTTTTTTATAATTTTGATTATTGATGGAATATTTCTAACTTTATAATTTAAAAATTTTTATTAAAAAAGTTATATTTTGAAAATTTAAATGAAGTTTGACATTATAAATATAAACGACTAAAACCATTTATAAAACCACAATCTATAGCTTTAATTTGAATGTATTAGTAAATTCGTATGTAAATACATTGATTTTATAAAAATTAATCATTAATTGAATCTTGGTGGATTTTATTATATTTACAATAAATTCATTGTTACTGTTACCTAATGAATATTAAGGTTAAAAGCTTCTAAGAATTTTAATAAAAAACTTTCATCCCAATTTTTATTAGTAAATAAAATGTGAGAGAAGAAATATTAAATATATGTTTTAATCAACTTCAAGAAAAACAAAACTTTAATTTCAAGCGAAAATACCAACAACTACAATGCATTTTTAAACATTTCTAATTCAGCTTACAACTAAACTTTTTATAAATTGAATTTGTTTTTAAGTATTGAAAATTACTTAATTAAATTTTATTTACATCAATATTTATCAAAGAAATCTTTGTTATGTAATTTCTTCATTCTATTTCTCTTGTTTATAAACCAACTATTTACTTGTCTTAGTGTTACTAAACAAAGATTCGCTAATTTAATCTTTTCTTCATAGGACGGATAATCACTTTTAGCAAAAGATTCATTTAGAATGTCAATTACATTCTTAGAAAATCTCTTAGGTCTTCTAATCTCATTGTGTTTAGTTCCTCTAATAAATGGAATTAATAAGCTGTTTATCTGTCCCGTAATATTATTAACAGCTTTATTTTCTATTTCTAAAATCTTTGTCTTGGCATACTTTATTATAAGAGGAGTTGATTCAGAGGAATTAACAACTGAACTTATTTTGAGTATTGACTCTCTTGTCAGTTGTTTAATTTTATAAATATTTCTTAAGCGTTCAAAAATTTGATAGATCATATAAGGGGAAAATCATATATATAACAAAAAAACGTAAACTTACTTAATTTACTTAGTAAGTCTTTAAATTATTACTTTTATCGAATTGATAGTTTTTAAATTTTCTACTCTTATTTTAAAAAAACACTAATTTGAAATTTAAAATGATGTTTGACAGGTGTAAAAAAATAAAATAACTAATCTTTAAATAGATCAAATTTTATTTTTAAATTATAAGTGTTGGTTTATTTTAATATTGAGTATGTTTTTATTAAATAACATTATTGTATTTATAGATTTTAATTGAAAATAACTTTAAAATCTTTTGTAATTTAGTTTCAAATTTACAAATTATTAAACTAAATATCTCTTTAGTTTTTTTATATAGCTTTATCTTTTATTATATCACTAATATTCGTTTCTTCATCTTTAATAATAACTGATTTATTAATAATTTTAATACTATTAAAAAATTTCCATAGAAACTTTCAGTTTCTTATAAACTTAATTAAGCAAACAATGATAATATTTTAAAAAGCAATTAATTGCTTTATTTACACCACAATTATTTTTTAATAATTTTTTAATTATATTTCTTACTCTTTTTAAAAATTCATATTTTTACTTAAATATTAATGTTTTAAATAATTTTATCATAAATTATACTTTAATAAATTATAATTAAATTTGTTAAAAGAATATTATATTAAAGAATTTACACCAATTAATAAATGTAAGATGATTACAACTATTATATTCTTGATATCTATTTCTAAAACGGGTATTATTTTATTACAATAATATGATTTTGTAATAAATTATTCTCATAGTATTTGTTGAAATGTATTATTATTTTTCTATATTAAAATAAACCGTTTTTAATTTTTTAAATACTAATCATAGTGACCTGCACGGTTTTTTAACTTATAAAAAAATCTTTTGTTAATCATTCTTTATTTATTAATTTCCTTTATATGTTTAAGTAACCAATAATATTATAATTGGTTTATTTTGAAACACTAAGGTATATGTCAAACTAGTTAACATAAGTTTCTTATATTTATTGAAGAATAAATAACATATATAATATTTTTTATTTTTCTTTTTAAGTAAAATTTTATTATTCTAATTTAAAAATAATAAATAAAATGGCAATTTCTATATATTTTAACAATTTTTAAATTATAATCTTATTAGATTAATTTATTCAAAATAATGTAGTACTTCTAATATCAGATAAAATTTCACTATTACTATCATAAATAATAAATAAAATTAAATTTTCTTTCTGAAAAATTTGTATTTTATAAATTTCTTGATATATTGAGTTTTGTAAAATTAAATAACTCTTTTATATCATCATATAATAAATTTCATTAACTAAATTGAATTGAAATAATAATCTGTTTTAAACCTTCAAATTCTAACACAAAATAATCAATTAATTTAACATTAATACTAAACTTATTTAAATTAATTTCAATAATATTGTTTAAACTTTTGTATATTCGATTTCTTAAGAAATTTTCAACATCATTTCTTCTTATCTTATTTAAAAAATTAAAGAAGTTCAAATAAACACATGAATAAAAATGCTTTCCAAAATCAATCATATTTTTTTAAAAAAGAACAATCTGAAGATTTATAAACATTATTAATGATAGAATAGATTTTATTTAACAAATATACTTTCCAAATATATTGAAACTATTTATAAATTATATATTCATAAGAGAATTTAAAGAATTTTTTTAAGAATTAAATAATGTTATTTAAAACTTAAAAAAGTTAATGAATTTGATGTTAAATGCTTTTAATTAAAATTCATTTATAAGATATTTAAAGTGATATTTTTTAAGAAATGGTTTTTATATGTTTAAATAAAAAAAAAGAAAATAATAAAGTTTTATTATATGAAATTAAAATAGTTATTTAATAACATATCATATAACAATCAATTATATTTTAAGTTTTACCATTTTATTATAAATCTCTTAATCAATGTTTATAATAAAAATCAATAAATAGTAATTAAATGAATCTGTAAATAAATAAAATTAATTTTTAAGGAAATAAAATATTTTTTGATCAAAATTAATTTTTTAATCACTAAAAAAAATCAAAATATTACTTTTTAAATTAATATCGTGTCAAATAAAAATCAATGTAAATCACATTTATTTATTATATTATTCTTTTCTATAGAATTCTCTAGTTTCATGTAGATTTTTAGCTCTGTTTCTTTTATTAGTAAACCAATTATTAACTTGTTTAGAAGTAATTAAACACAAATTTGCTAGTTTATTCTTTTCACTGTTACCGGGATATTTATCTTTTAGAAAACTTTCCTCAAGTATATCAACAACCTTTTTTGAAAATCTTTTAGGACGTCTCTTGGTGTCATAGATGTGTGTCTCGGTGTATGGAAGGAGTATGACACCGATTTGATTGCTTATACAATTGACAACATTAATTTTTGCTTCTTCAAGTCTTCTATTAATGTATTCCTTAGTCTCAGTTGAAATGTCAATGTTTAAATCATTTAGTTCTCTTTGGTATTCAATAAGTTTTTCCTCTACTTTTATCATTGTTTTGTAGTAAAGTGCCTTTATTTCTGCAACCTTCTTGACTTTTTTATTTAAATCTCCTGTCATAAATGTATGGGTAGATTTCATTCAAATGTCATTAAATTTTTTGTAAAAGTTTATTTGGAATCAAAAACACTGATTAACACATGATATAAAAATATATTGAGATATTTGATGTTAAAAATAAACAAAAAATTGATAGGTTTTTATTTAGAATTCTCTATTAATATCGTTGTATAATTGAGTTTTTATTTGATTAGGAACAATCTCATCAAAATAATTTAAAGCTGACTCTAAAACATTATCATCATTAGAATTAGGATCATTCATTTTTAATTCAATAAATTCTTTAAGTCTCTGTTCATATTCTGTATTTGCTAGGTATTTTTGTAGATTCTTTAAACATTTATCTAGTTTATTCTCTTCCATAGAATCTAATTTGATTTTTTTGAAAAAATTTTTACCCTCAATGTCAGAATTACAATTATTTAACAAATACTCATTTAAAGAAGTAATAGTAGGTGATGAAGCACTTAAAGAACATATTAATGTAACTAAAGAGGAAATATTCCCACACTCATCTACCAAAGCTAATTTGGGACGTTTTGGTAACAACAACAAGTCTATTGTTGAAAGGTTTATTGTAAGACTTATGAGAAAGGGTAGAAATAACGGAAAGAAGAGATTAGCAATGAGACTTTATGAAGAATCTTGTGAGATAGTTGCTGCTAAAACAAAGAAGAATCCAATTCAAATTCTTGTAGATGCAATTATTAATAGCGGTCCAAGAGAGATGGCAATGAGAGTAGGTAGAGGAAGTAATTTAAGAAGATCTTCAGTTGATGTAAGTTCTTATGCTAGAGTAAACAAAGCACTTCAGTATTTGACTGATGGAATTAGAAATTCTGCCTTTAAGAATGAAAAAAATACCATGCCAGAAGTTATTGCTTATGAATTAATTAATGCAGCTTCAAACAATGAAGCAAATTCTTATGGAATTAGAAAGAAATCTGAAATAGAGAGAATAGCTAAGTCTAATAGGTAAATAAATTTTTAATAAATTTTTTTATTTAAAATAATAAAAAAGAACAAAAATCCCCTGAACTGGAATCGAACCAGTATTATCTGATATCTACTCTATCTACAGTCAGATGCTCTACCATTAAACTACCAAGGGTTATTTTTGAAATTGTTAATAAATAAATATATAAAAAATAATATTTTATTACTGTTTTAAATTTATTAGAAACTGTAGTTTTTAAGGAATTTTTTAATAATAAATGAATTATTAATAAAGATTTAGAAACGATAAAGAAGAAACAAATACAAATAACAATAAAAATATTTCATTATAAAATAAACAAAGTTAGAAATAAATAAGGGATCTTTATAACTAACAATTTCAATAAAGTTAATATAATCATTTATTCAATTAAAGGAAGATAATTAAGTTTAAGTCACATTGATACTTTCTTATTATTAAAAAAAAATTTTAACCCTTTTAAATAAAAGTGAAATGACAAAAACAATAAATAAGTTCAAATTACGTGCTTATAGATT